CATTGTGTTACAAAAAATAACAAAAAAATAATCAACATCTTGGATTTCGGATAGCCCTAGTGTTTACGACATAAAAAAAAAGCAATTAATTGACGGTTGGCGTATCACGTTTTTAAATTATGATTCTTATACTTGACTGGCTTTATTTGATTATCAACCAAACGGATGAATATTATCGTTTGATTATCGTTTTAACAGTATATTTTTTAATGTCAGAGTATGACCGTAAAATACACTATTTCGTTTTCGTGGTTTCAAATGCGTCTTCGAAATTTATTAGACGGAAGTTTTGTTATTATATTGCTTTCGCAGCATTCCATCAACGCATAACGTCATGTATTGAGCTTTATTTCGTAATTTAATCTATGACTGGAGAAAGTGCGTGTAAGTGCGTTTACATACAGAAGTAGTTTATGTCGTGCAATAAGATGTTTCCATATTTTCATCCAATTTTTTAGCTTATTTCAGTTATCCATCACTTGTTTGCACACATTATTGAACCAGTTATTCAACATTTTTCTTTTTTCCTTACCTAAATGTTCATTAGCACTATTGGTTACTGTTTATTTTAGATTTATTCAAAAGGAGTCTTTTTTTCTTTTTTTTTTTTTTTTTTATTAGGAAATTTTGTATATGTACAATTTATTTCGACATTTACAGATATAAGTACAATTAGGTATTTACAATAATTTATTTATTTAAACGGATAGACCAGTCTCGAGAATGAAGGATAGAATACGATTAATTATGGTTTCGGAATGGGAATTAAGGATAGATGGAAGAGTTAATTGGATGTTTTGAGATTTTAAAAAGTTAAATAGAATTAAAAGATTATGGGATAATGAAGGACAACTGAAGATAATGTGGGAAAGATCACAAATTATTTCCTCAGGATGTTTAGTGCAATAAGAAGAATCGTCTAGAGAAAGTTTATAGGAATGAGAAGGGAGTAAATGATGACCAACCCATAGGCGATTAAATTTTATAATCGACGTTCTCAATAATTTTAGATTATCGAACCAAGTTTTTTTTAGTATACTGGGAACAACACTTTTGTATTTAGAGGCAAAATTAGCCGGTAGATTATTCCAATAGGAGGACCAGAGATAGATAATATGTTGACGCAGAATTGGAAGAAAGTCGGTGGAAGGGATTTTACAAGGGGAAGGCAAAGAGATAGTAGATGTGGACCTAGCCAGATTGTCTAAAATTTCATTTCCAAGGATGCCCGAGTGACTGGGCACTAGAGTTCTGCATGGTCCGGTCTAAATCGGTCTTTTACACTAAACGCCTTAGAAGTCCAGTCCATTGTGGTCTGATTTCTAATATTTATGGTCTTTTTTTTGTTATACTATGTAATAAACACACTGGTCCGGTTCGGAAGGTCCAAAATTAAAAAATATTGAATCGGTCTTTTTTTTTGTAAAAGTTTTAAATTTATGGTCTGGTCCAGTCCGGTCCGGTTTTATCTAATCAATATCGGCGAAAAATAAATAATATTTGTAAATTACTTTATTACAATTTAATACGTAAATTAAAATAAACGAAGTAGGGAAATCCCTATATCCAGTCTTATTCACCACCGACAATAATTTCTTAAAATACGTATATTATATCTATAATATGGCATATGCAATACGATTACGAAATACAAATGCAATAGCCTAATAATAATAATAAATTAATATTCCATCGTTATCGGTTATTTCTAGAGGTCCCTATTACACGTGTATGAAATTACATTACGTTCGAACACTAATAACTTATTTCCCAGAACCCCGCGACGAGTGAGTAAAGACGACTCGTCGCGGCGACCAAAATTAATATTATTGTATTTCGAACACGAATCACGATAATAATATCGATAATAATAATCACGATAATAATAAGAATAAAGACCGTTCAGTTTTTCGTATCAACGTTTGTTTTTAAGTGATCCGTTTGGCGTCTATCAAAGTCTAGTATTCAAGTGTCAGTCTTCGGCAGATGTAAGTATTTTGACATTTAAATGTAAATTGAAATAAAAATGTCAATATCTTTGTTTATAATAGTACAGTGTCTACCCTAGGCCTACTACCTACTACCTTGTACAGTTGTACCTACTATATTTACGTGTGGCGTACCTACTGCCGTGGGTGACAGTGAGAGCGTGAGCTGTCGATGAGGTTTGTGGGAAATATTATTCAGTTTACAGCACCCACATTTAAATAAAAAATATTTATATTTAAAATGTAGACTGATGAATTTTATTTGCAATAGGTACTACCCAGTACCCAAGTATTAAAATAATCTATTAAAAGGAGTAATCAATGTTTTTTACATCAGTCACTTATAAATCGTTTGAAAAACTATTGGGTCATCTTTTTCATGTGAAAAAATATTAGTTTTAAGTCAGTATCATAGTTAAAACACATTTTTGAAACTTTGATTTTACCTAGTGGTTAAGCGTTAGGTTTTTTAAGTGCACTCTTATAAGAAGTGTTATATTAATGATAAATGACATTTAATAAATATTTTATCGTGATCTATAATTTAACATGAATAATATTATGTCTGGACTATTCATTCAAAAAACTTGGCAATTTCGTTTCAATTACTGGTTGATACGTTGTAGACTGTAGTAACTACGATATAGTCGTGTTAAGTATTCAAAAATTTGTATTTAAATATTTTTTTTGTATTTCAAATAATTAAAAAATAATTTTTTATTAGTTTTTTAATTCTAAAATACTAAATACTTTTTTCATTCTAGTGGTTTACTTCAACTTCCAATATTTTGTAGAACTCATAAGTTTATAAACACGTTTTTGAATAGGTATTCTATCTATTTGCAATAGTATTTAGTAATGTTGGTAATATAATGAAACTAAATATATTCATATAAGTTCCAATTATTATACTGTAGTTGTTTAAGTCATACTCATTTTTTTTCAGTCATAATTTAAATTTATGTCCTTAATAATTAAGTCTGGTCCGATTCGGTCCGGTCCGGTCCGGTCCAGTCCTGCCTAATACCTTTATAGATTGGTCCGGTCTAGTCTTAAATTAAAAATTTAATTTAAGTCTAGTCTCCGGTCTTCTACTGAAAATTTTTTTTTTTCATCGGTCCATTTTGGTTTTTTTTAAAAAATTAAAAATATATCGGTTTAGTCTGGTCCAGTTGCATTGCCATACATATTGGTTCGGTCCAGTCTCGGTCTTAAATATTCTCCATCGGTCCGGTCCGGTCCAAGAAATTACGGACCGTGCAGAGCTCTACTGGGCACCCAGAGGAATTTTATATTAAAGTTATTTTGATTAAGAGAGAAAAGAATACTCTTTAAGCGGAGGATAAGTGGAGAGAGACGATAATTGAGAGGATAGCTAATTAACGACTGAATACTGGACATTGAGTCAGAGAAGATTAAAAAACTGTTATAAGGTAGAGAGGAGATAAGTATGAGAGCTTCAATAATGGCAAAACATTCGGCAGAAAAGGATGAAGTGGATGGGGGTAGATTGTTAGAAAAGGAAATATATAGTATAGGGATAGTAAAAGAATAATCTGCAGAAAGAGGGGAGACGGATCCATCAGTATAGACTAAAATGAATAAAGGGAAATTGATGCTAATATAATCAAGAAAGAGGTTGTTGACAGTGGAAGGAGGAAGGAATTTTAGCCTATCCGGGGAGAGGTCAAGGAAGCAAGGGTCTATATTAACAGAGGGTAAATACAAAAGAGAATCATAAGAAATATCAAAACAAGGGAGTAAATTTGAGCTAACAATATATTCAGGGAAAGAGGATAATGAATTAGCAGTGAGTGAGAGAACAGGAAGTGATTTTTGAACATAGCGCCAGTTAAGAAATAGAGAGAAAAAGGTGTCAAAAATGAAAGAGTTAGAGTTTGAGAGGGATTTAAGTAGAAATTTTCCTGCTAACCAGCGACATCTAATATTAAATGGAGGACAGACGGTTTCAACTTCGATGGCTGGAGTAGGAGTGGATTTTAGGTAACCCATAATGGTTCTGAGGCAAGAAATTTGAAGTTTATTAAGTTTGTTAAAGACAGAGAATGACGCTGAACCGAAGAGAAAACATCCATAGTCGAGTTTTGATCGGATTATCGATAGATATATTGAAAGTTATGAAGAAGGGTGAGATCCCCACCAGGTGCCGGCAACAGATCTAAGGAAATTAGACCAGTTGACAAGGAATTTGGAAAGAGAGGCTATATGAGGAGACCAACGTAGTTTTGGATCTAGAGTTAATTCGAGGTAGGTGACCTCGGGAACAAAAGGTAGTACTATCAAGGAAGACACTAGGAGGATTTGGATAACGACGTCGAGTAAAGATAACAGTTTTGCACTTTTCAGGGGCGACTGTAAAGAAAGAACGATTAAGTATGTCGTTAAGATCCATGAGAGCTATGTTTAAGGTCTCGATAGCGAGATTTAAGGATTTGTTGGTAGAAAAAATTACAATGTCATCTGCGTAGATGAGGAACTGGTGCTCACGTGAAGAGAGATTTTTGGCGATAAAGTTTATGTATATATTAAAAAGAATGGGACTTAAGCAACTGCCTTGTAGGAGACCAGTACAAGTGGAGCGAGTATTGTGAGAACCAAAAGGAGAAAAGAAAGAGAGAGATCGGCTAGAGAACAAAGAACGAATTAGGTTGCAAAAAGTAGGTGGTAGGTCTAAAGAGGAAAGATGAGAAATTAGAGTAGGGATATGAACTGAATCAAACGCACCTCGAATATCGATAAAAGTAGCGACCAAAAATTTTTTGTCGTTGAAGGCATGATATGACCAGAGAATATCGAAAGACATTCGAGTGTACCCCTGCCTTTACGAAAGGCAAATAAATTATCAGATAAAATTGCTTCAGATTCAAGCTACCAATCTAGGCGTGATTTGAGCATGTGTTCGAAAATTTTGCATAAAGCTGAAGATAGGGCGATGGAACGAAAAGAAGAGGTAGAGTTTCCTTTAGGTATTGGAATTACGTGAAAAGAAGACTAGGATGAAGGAAGACGTTGAGTTGATAGGACATCATTAAGAATGCGGAGTAATACTTCGAGTGCGTTAGGAGGTAAGTTTTTTAGCATACGAGGAGAAATGTTATCAAGACCAGATGCAGATGAATGACGGGAAGATATAGCATTCATTAATTCAGACAAAGAGAAAGGATTTAAGAGAACATGAGGTTGCAAGGGTTGAGTAATTAATTGTTGATTATTTTCGTCTTCAGTGGGAACGTAGCAAGGGGCAACCTTGGAGCAAAACATATCGAACCAATCATCATTGATAGGACGAGGAGATCGAACAACACATTTTTTAAAGAGTCTGGCGGTGTGCCAGAGTTGGTGGATAGTAGCAGATGGATTTAAGTTGGTACAAAAGTTTTTCCATGCTGTGCGTTTTTCTTTTTTTAAAATCTGTGCTGTTGTTGCACACGATTCGCTATAAGCAAGAAAATCAGCCATAGAACCTGAACGGCGAAATAGTTTAAAAAGAGATGATCTATTTTTGACAGCCTTGGTACAAGAAGAATTCCACCAAGGAGGGGAAGGAGGAAATGTATTGTAATAGGTTTTTTTTACTGGAATTGAGTTGATCGAGGCTTGATTTATGATATCGATAAAGGTAGAATAACAAATAGTTGGGGATGTTGTATCTTGTATATAAGAGATACTATTTTGAACATATTGAGAAAATGCAATCCAGTCGGCTTTATTAAGATTAAAAGATGAGGAGTTAGAGAAAGAGGATTTTGCCGACTGGTTGAGAATGGGGGGATGAGGGTTACGAGAGTAGTTAATGGTGATAAGGATAGGGATATGATCGCTACCATTAGGGTCATCCATAGTGGACCACGTTGTATTCCAAACCAGATCAGGAGACGAGAAGGATAGGTCGATGGTTGAGTCATTAGAACCCGGGTGCCCGATACGAGTACAGTTACCGTTATTTAAAATACATAGACCAAGGGAGTTGACAATATCGTAGATATGAGTACCTCGGGGGGAAGAATAGGATGAGTTCCACGAGGGGTGGAAGGAGTTAAAGTCACCGCATAGTAAAGAAGACGGAGAAATCAAATTGAATAATAGTTGCCATAGGTCCACAGAAATATGAGTATCGCCGGGAATATAGCAGGACCATATGGAGAGAGATGGAAAAAAATTGGACTTTAGTAATTCAACGCCAACAATGTTCACTTTTTTTTCAGTAAAACGATTTTTTGTAACCGGATCCAGAGTAATCAGCCTGGATTTTATGGAACTATGAACCACGATAGCAGAACCTGCATAACCGTCGAAGCGATCACATCTAAAAAAATTAAATTGAGGGATATTAAAGGCACGAGAAGGAAGTAACCATGTTTCAGAGAGTATAGCAATGGAGCATTTATAATGAGCAAGTAAGTTCTGTAAAGAAGTAATTCGAGCAGGGAGACTTCTGACGTTCCACCGTAAAATGTTTAGAGAAGGAGAAGAGTTATAACTTTTTAAAGAAGACATTACTAAAGAAAAAAAAAAAAAAAAATGTAAAACTGAGAAGCGGGAAAAATATTATGTAGGAGATAATTATTATTGAGTGATGTTAAATTTAGGAAGAGAGAGTAGAGAATGTATCGATGATTCAATTAATTTCTGAAGAGTTGTGGAGGTGAAGGGAATTAGTAAACTAGGGGAGTTAATCAGGGATTCGGATAATTTAAGAGAAAGTGGATGGACCCAAGAAAAATCGTTAGGACTTTGTTCAAGTGGTTGCGAATTTTGATCATAGGTATTAAGGTAGCTACCATTAGGTAGAGGTGATAGAGATTCGTGAGGAAGAGAAAAATGTTTTTGGTGGGAGGAGGGGTGTGATTTGATTTTTTTCTTTCTAGAGTTAAAAAAATGATGACTAGGGTTTAGATTAGGAAAGTCATCATTTGTAAAGGAAGTCGGGACAGATGTATTTACGGCTGGAATAGACTGACTATTTACAATATCCGAATATTTAAAAGCGGAGGTGTGAAATTTGTTTTTCTTAAAATCTAGAGCTTCGCGGTATGATAAATTTTCGGTTGCCATGATTTTCTTAATTTCCTTTTGAAATAACCATTCACGGCAACTATGGTCGGTGGCGAGATGAGGAAGATTACAAAAAATACTATTCGGGTTCGTAGTATGGGCCGACGGGCAAGCATCGCTGCCGCAATGACTACATCTCGGTTTGCTGCGGCAGAATTTTTGAGTGTGGCCAAAACGGAGGCAACGGTTGCACTGAACTGGAGGCCTTATACTGGGTTGGACGTCAAAGAGCATATTATATATTGAGATGTGGCTTGGAATTTTTGGAGCTAAAAATTTGAGTTCAATAATACGTGTTTGAATTATGGTACCGTCTTTTTTTATTGATATGCGTTTAAACGCTTCTACTGGCACAGAAGACTGAAGACCATCACGGAAGTCATCTTCAGAGAATGTATTATCTAATTTGATAATTCCGAATGAATATATGAGCGTAGAAGGAATAATAGCCGTAAAACCGTTATTGCTCAAAATGTTGGAATTTAAACAAATGTTGCCATTAACTACGGAGTTGAACGTTATTTTGATTTTATTTAAGCTGGCGGGCTTAGTGTTGGTAATGCCTTTGAAGTTAGAGGATAAAAATTTTGCAGCCTTGAGAGGGTGCCAGTTACCAAGATTTTTACCTGGGTCAACACATTCGACTAGAATAATAACAGGACCAGCGTAGTCATGTAAAAAAAGACGTAACGGTGATTTGATATTATCGTTTGAAAACGTAAGTTGATTATCGATAGAATATGTAGACGACTTGTCTGTGATCGAAGTAGAGTCGATAATAATTGCATGATTATCGGTTATATTTGTGCGTGAGATAATGGCGGTATTTGTAGTGTTATCAGTGACGGAAGCAGTTGCGTGATCGGTTGAAGAGGAATCTATATACATATGCACGCCGGACGACTCATTAAGATAATTAGATAAGGTGTTATCGTATTTAAATGTTTGTCTGGGCATATTTAGAACAGGTTGATTGTTATAGATTTGCTGTTGCGTGGGGGATATAGGACTATTTGGTGTTGGTACCTTATTACGTTGAGATGCTTTCTTGTTGGTCGCTATGGACCAATCTTGATCAGTATTATGTAGTCTGGCATTGAGTTTTTTGATTTTTCCTGTTGACTGGTTTGGCCATGCGGCGGGTTACCACCGCCACCCGAAGACGACGCCGACATAAAGTTTAAGAATATACGAAAGCAGAACTAAGATAACGGAGCGACAAGTAAATTAACGACCTTATTCGACGATTGACTTATCGCCACTCAAAAGGAGTCATTTACTTGGGTTTATTTTTTTGATTTACGAAACATTTGATTAAAATTATATCAAAATATCAACCAAATATCTTAATGTAGCATACGCGAACGTTCTAATATTCCAAGTTCCAAAATTAAGTCTAGTTTCTCCAAACCAGAAATTTGCCACGAAAATCTTATTCGAGGCCCAATTGAAGGTTTTTTTTAACAAGTGTTTTTTCCGAGGTTGGGGTATTAGCCTGATACTCAAACACCCCAATCTGCAGGATCAGTCCACACCATATACTTAAATTTAGTGTGGAGGTAATTGCAATATAATATATGGTATGAGCGATGAGGACGTCACATTTCTGTAATAACCCAAAAATACAAAAATAAAATAATTGGGAGAAAGTGATACATATGAATGGTGGTGTGATATGTAAATGTGGGTTTTTATGATTTATTAAGGGTTGTTATCTTCCTTCTTGTTTAAAGGAGGGCTCTCAGGTTGTGAATGTTCGAGAGCCGATCAGCGCAATTGTACAGTCTGTCAAGCTAAATAAAGCAGCACTTACTTGTTTTACTGTAGACCTTCAAATATCGATGTGAAGTTGAAAAAATAGGACAAATGTAGAATTTAATTACACTGGAACTGGATACTCTTCAATACTTGTACGATGAATACAAGTCGAACGGATTAAAATTACAAGTTAAAAAATTACACGTATAAATTCTCTCGTTAATCTTATGATCGCACCGCATGCACAGGCGATCAAAGTTAGAGGGTTGCTTCATTGATCTTACAATCGGTGTGCATGCACTGATGACCTAAGATCAAGATCCCAGGGAAGGGTAGTCCTTGTTATATAGGGACGTGTGGTGGCATGGACCGTAGACCGGTCCTTTGAAGATTAGTCTTTATTGTTCGATCTGTGTCGTTCGTGCGGGATCCAAGGAACCGTTATTAATTTATTTAAAATGGATTAAAATCACGTACATACGAATATTATACATTATTACAAAATATTTGTGTCATCTTTTACAATTGAATGATGTACATCATTACACTCCCGACGCCATTAAAGTACAACTAATATTTTCATGAAACACAACCTGCAACGTAGCAAGTACACCAGCAATGTAATTATTAAATGTCTTTATCGAAGATTTGTGTATTTTTAAATTTGAATTATCCGCTATTTAATAAAAAATTATATGCAAAGTACATACGTATGTGATAATTTTATGAAATATTTTTTATTTCCTTAAATATTTGCACTCAAGTTATATATATTTTTAAACTTCAAAGTAATGAATACAATTTTTCAAAGCGAAAATGTGTTACGTTTTTATTTTGAATTTACATTCAGATGCTGTTGGGTACATATTTCGTGCTACTCGATGTGTAAATGAATTATTTTGGTAAGTATTTTGTTGGTACAGTTAATTTTTACATAGGTAATGTTTTAATTATATTGTATTACTCGTATAACACTTAAATATATAACCATTATGTTGGATTATTTCATATACTTATGATCAAAGTGATATAACCATGTATTATTATTTTTTATTTAGATATTTTCAGTAAAAAATAAATAATTGATATACGATAATTCGATATAAATAAAAAATTATTAATTTTTTATCATAAACAGGAGAAGATTTACATTTTACTCCTATTTGCACAATCGAGAAATAATGTTACGTAACAACAAAAAAACCGATGATTTCTCATACCGAAATAGTTAAATATTGTTGATAAATGTTATATATTTGGAATGAATACAATCATATTACTGTTTAACATTTAATGTTATGGTAAAACTGACTATTAAACGGAGAGGAAGAAATGAACATTTATTTATTTTGGATGGAAGTCGTTTTGGCCATTCAGAGGTTTTTGAACTTTCAATGCGTTACTATGTAAATATTTTTACACTTTTCTGAACTGAATAATTTAAGTGCTCCCCTCCCTCTAACTAAGATGCGATCTCTTTATTTACAATAGTTATGTATACATTTTTAATATCAAAGAAAGTAAATAATAAGTGATTCATAGAACCGAGTTTATGCAGATTTTGTACGGGAAAATTGTGTTCTATTAAATAATATGAAGCATTACTCGTCAAATGTAATATTTGTAGTGAAAATTGAAAAAAAATATATACTATGAATGGAACTCAGTGTTCCAATTAAATTTGTAATATTTCCATGCTTTTTTTGTCGTACATAGTTTTGGAGAAATTATTTTGCACTCTAGTAAAGGTTATATAATATTCTTATACAGACATTATTTAGAATTATATTTCATTGCTATTTGGGTAGAGTTGAATGAGCTTATTATTGTTATTTCGAAGTCGTCTCGGTTCGACGAACTCAGGGGATCGATCAACTCGTAGATCGTTGTCAGTTTTTCGTTCGTATAATAATTTTTAATGCTTGTTCAATAATAAAGTGTGGTAGAAATGGACTTCACTCTACTGTAGCAATGGTACTTGAACGTATGTGTAAAAATCAAAACATATGCCCAGGGTGTTGCGAGTT